TTGGTTGTGCAAGATCTGCAAACTCTATAGACTGTGACAGTACTTGCTTTTTTTCCTCCTTTGCCTTAGTTTTAAACCTTTCTGAAATGTCTGTAGATAGTTTATTCTGAAATTGCAGATTGTTACTTCATAATTAATTAATTGCTCCCTTTGTTTCCCTTGGAGAAGTAGATGGGAGCTGACATCATTTATATGCAGAGAATTTCTAGGTGTGTTTATTAGAGATAGCAAAACATTTAAGTCAATATGGAAAATATAAATAGTTATTTACACTATGTGTCCTCACTGAACAGTGGCTAACACGTACCTGCTCTCATTTTCCCCCTGCTCCACACCAGCAAGCAGCATCTTGTCTCACCCTCTTCTTCACAGGCTGGGCAAGGTCAGTGTGTGGGGGATGTTGGCTCATCTACTGATGCTTAGAAAGAGAGGCCCCAAAAATCATTTTTAGGAATTGCAACTCCTAGTTTCCCCCATGATTTTTCTCCCTTCTGTTCCCTTCCCCCAGTCCTTCTCCAGCAGCTCTGTGGAGGTACCTGTACCAGGTGTTGGACAAGGACTCCAGGAGGGAGCTCAGCTCTCCTCTTCTGCCAAGGGAAAGACTGTAACACTATATTACAACTGAAAAGCACGCTGCAAGATGTATTTTAATTAGAGTGTGTTTTGCTGCAGTGTAATTAAGGGTCAAAAGCTTGCGCTTTGTCAAGTAGTGCCTTTTATTATTGTGTTTTTCTATTTCAGATTCTTATCATTGCCTTAGGAGAAGGAAATGAGAATCCATAGCATTCATAGTAACAGTCTGCGGTAATAATTTTTTGTGAAGGCTGCTTATGAGTTTGACTTGAGGCGTTATCGACAGCATCTCATGGTAGAGGAATGTAATACTTCAGTTTTAGTATTACATAGCACTTCAAAAAGCGGGCAGACGGAGTTGAGCTGACTCTATGTGTTTTGGTTGGGATGAATAGCTTTCTACTAATAATGTAAGTTAATGCGGACTCGAATATTGAAGGAGCATTACATTGTATTTGCTGTTGAACTAACAAACCAAAACTACCAAATCTCCTGAGATGTATATAAGCAAAGACAAAACAGTTTCAAATATGTGATTATTGGCTAGCTGCATTTTGTTTTAGAGTTTTTTACATTTTGCTATGGCAAGTCAAAATGAAATAATTCAACTAAGTGTCAAAGTGGCCGATTTGGCCTAAACCACGACACAAAGACAATAATTCCATGCCTCGGGAGGTTTCCTAATGATGTATTTTTGTCGAATTCCTTTTTCAAGGTCACTTTTTCCTGAGAAAAATATTTTTGTTACTTGCTCTCCCCCTTCCCACCTACATTGCAGTTTTCCACAGAAGTTATGGTTCCTGATGGGGTTTCTATTTGCATATGCAGTGCTGAGGAAGACCAGAGGCTTTCATGCCACCTCATATGCTGATGATGACACCAGTTTCTTACACATAACTGATCACACATAAATTTGCTTAAGTTTGCAGCAACAGTCACTCAACATGATAAGAAATTGCTTATTTGGAACAGCTAACTCCACAAAATGCAATGTAGGTAGGTTCAGTGGATTGCCACTCAAAAGCGAAAAATGCAGTGTTGCTATTCCTGTCTCTCCCACCCCCCATGTCTGGCTGCTTAGTTTTCCAGATCAGTTATGCTGCTACATTAATCCCTAAAGATGGACCAGATCACTGAAATTTCCACTCTGACTTTAACAGTGGCAACTCATCTGCTATTAGAGATAGGAGGTACCCTTAATATTTCTTTAAACAGGATATATGTTTTTTGTTTTATACCAACTGGTATTTTTTAATGGATTATATTGGATTATTTTTATCACAGTTATCACTCAGTGCCTTAAATTCTCATGAGCTTTCACTCCCCGAGTCCATGCCTTGAACTGAGTCATGAGATGTGATGCACTGTGGCCGACTGCTGCTCCCAGGTGTTTTGCATTAGGAAGCAAATATAGCTGAGAGAGAAAGGGTGTTTCACAGCTAAATGTTGTTCACAAGCCTTTGGCCCGGTTCCCAAATATAGCTGTGATTCCATTAGAGGTGTTTTAGCCAGATGTCCCACCATGTGCATGTTCGAGTTGCAGAAAGATTTAGAACAGCTTTCTTTAGACTTTGTGTGGTTAAATGAATTAGCCAAAAGGTGCGTGTACTGGCATATAAATAGTAGTATGCTGTCTTCCTTACAGTGTCTCAAAGCTAAAGTGTGGTGCAATTAATTCAGGATACATTCCTTCTATTCCAGCTCTCACTGATGTTACTGTGAGGGCAGTCTCGTTGGTTTGGTCCTGTTGTTCAAGTTTTCCTTTTAGCTGCGGTGGTTGACAAATTCATTTCTTTTCCAGTGGCAGGGTAGGAGTCATTCCAAGCACCTTGAAAGGAGCACAGTGATTTGGCTGTAGGGCACAACCTAATTGTTTAGTAACTTCACTGACCCTGGAGATTTAAATCTGCAAACATGGGGAGAAAAGTTAATTCAGCCCTTCGTGCTTCCCAACTAATCAACCTAAAGCTTATATAGAAAGAGTTCATTATTTGGAACTTGGTTCATCTCCATGCCTCTGTGGCTTTTGCTTTTCTTCATATATTCTTTGCAGGTGATTTTAATGAGTAGGTTGCATTAGCAGACAATCTAAAAAAGGAAGAAGAAGCTTCAGTATATAGAGATTCTTTCGATGGATCATGAATGGTAAATGTCAAAGTCTAAAGAATAATAGAGTTAAATACCTTAGAGATCTTATTTCAATAAATGGAATTTAATGTCATAAGTATTTTTAACTTAATACATATTAATATATTAACATACTGAGATATATAAATTGTTGAACATGGTGTTTCCTCCATCAGTAAAGTAGATACCTAAATTCACAACAAAAGAAATTAGGTAACCTTCAGTTACAGGCTGGATGCAGTTCAGTGCCTGGGGCATGTTGGATGATAGATATCTAGATATTGATTGCAAAGTTATGAACCAATTGTCTGTAAAAAATTAGTTCCTTAAATATCTCCCTCTGAAGGAACAACCCAGTTGTTGTTATATTCAAGGCTATTGAGTATTACTGTGGACTGTTCTCATCGGTGTGTTTCAGGGTCTTTTGTGGAAAAACGGATCAGATGTTGAATGTTGTCTCCCAGCTGTTGGGCTGTATGTTTCTAGATGTCTTGTGGATGTAGGTGCCCCTGTAGATGAGGTGAGAACTGAGCTGTGTGTCCTGCTCGGCTCCAGGAAAAGTCTCTTGCTCTGCTGGAGCCAAAGAAGTTACCATGCATGTCCTAGCTCTGGGTGGCCCTTTGGCACTCCTGCACTCCTAGTGTCTACCTTTTTCAAACAACACTCTTGTGTTCAAGGTATTTTGCTATTCAGTCTAGGTTTCTGCCTGCCTTTGATGCCTGAAGATTACAATACACAAATTTCTTAGTGTTGGAAACTCCCAGAGTGATTTATTTTATTTTCTTTAAATCCTGAAAAGGGCTTGTTCCAGTTAGAAAGCTAGGGCAAAGTCAGAATCTTTGAAACGCACAGATTCATTTTACAGATGAATTCTTTATTTAACCTAACAGCGTATTCCTATTCAAACAGTCAGGCTTGTGATTCTTTAAAAACAAATAAATCACATGAACGTGGTGAACAGTGCTTGGCATACTGAATGGACAGAGGCCTCTTGCATCTGCAGCTTCCCTTTCCTGCCTCGTCAAAGGAGATTAGCTTGCAGACTCTGAAATGTTGTGGCCTTCAGAAAGATGAGCTATAAAGCTCACTAGAGGGAGAATCGGTCCTTGTCATCTCTCCCCACATCGTTTCCCGCTTCCCCCAGCTATAATATTTCAAACCCCATGCCTTGGTGCAGCCCACGCAGAGTTTTTGTAACCAGCTTAGTCAGGGATGTGATTTCCCTTCCTACTTCTGTCTGTTACACTTAGTTTATAGCAGTAATGCCTGCTTTGTGGGAGTTGCTGCAATAAAATTGTTCCTCTCCCTGTGCGGGGGACTAGGTGCAGAAGCAGAGGACTTTTGTGTGGGAGCAGTTGCATCTTCCACAGCGTGTCTGGACTGCTTTAAGTACACGGGTATAATCAGAGCAGTTTGTCTTCTCTGTTTTGACATTGCTGTGTTGAAGTGGCTTGATGGTTCTCACCAATGTCCCTGGAAGGGACGGGCTTGGGAGCACAACCATGTGGGTTTAAAAACCTGCTGTCATCACTGTCCCAGGGCGTAGGGGACACCAATTGCATCTGGGCACTCCTCCTTCGATGCGGTTCCTGTGGCTGGTGGTGCTGTTAGTTGCAGCAGCGTCTCAGCTGGAGTTGAAACAGCTGTTCATATTTAAAAAATAAAAATAAAAAATCTTTCATACTTTGGCAAGCTGCATTGTTGTTACTGTCTTTTAACACCATAAATGTGAACAGTTAACTTTGGGGATATGGCATATAATTATGAAGCAAAGGGGAGTGACCTCAGTCGCATATTTTATTTGAGATTAAGTGCCATTCTGTTTATGATTCAGCAGTAAGAGACTTGACGGAAATCAGGCCCACTGTTTCAAGTGACACTGTGGACTCTGAACTGCTGCAGAACCCTTCTGCCTTCAGGCACCACGATGTAGAGATCTTTCAAGCGTGTGTGTTTTGGGGGAGAGGGCTTATTGTAAGAGTTGCATGAAGCACTTCAGAAACACTACCTTTTTTTTTTTTTTCCCCTTTCTTTCCTTTCCCTTCCCCTTTTTCCTTGAGTTATTTAAACCACGCTAGACAAAAAGTTGAACAATGGGCAATACCTTAATACCTTTGGCAACGTTCGTGCTTTCTGTAGGGATGGTTCCATCTTTTACATAGAAATTGGGGTTTTTCTTCAGACGTACACCTCTGCTGTCAGATCACATAGAAGCAGATCACCCTGACAGGCTGGGCACTGCCTTTGACCAGATAAACCCTGTATCCTACCCTTCCTAAAACAAACTCCCTGTGTCCGTGCTGCAGGTGCGGCCATGGAGGCACTGTGGAGCTTGGTGGGGCCGGGAAGGAGCAGCACCTTACAGCACACTGGTGCCATCTGACGGTAAGCTTGCCCAGCAGGTTTGCCCCCTCTCACCAAAGTCAGCCAGGTTTTCATTTATTTTGTGGAGGTAGGGTGAGATGACGTTAATTGCACGGGGGTTATTTATTTATTTATTTATTTATTTATTTATTTATTTATTTATTTATTTATTTATTTATTTATTATATATGTCCCAGAAGTAGAAGTACTATAGTCATTAAAGAAATCTAGAATGTATTGTCTGGTTTCCTTCATTCATCCTGTGCTTTAAAATTAAACTACAACTTACAGTATGACTCTCACTTTTTTTTTCTCCCCCAGAAGTAACTATTAATTACAGACATGGTCTTCCCGTGATAACTCTTACGCTGCCCACAAGAAACGAACGCTGTCGGTTCACTGTTAAGCCAACGGTTACCACTGTAGGGGCATTCCTACAGGATGTGCAGAGAGAAGATAAAGGAATTGAGAGAGCAGAAGTCTTTGCAACAGGTATCTTACGCTTCTGTCATTCCTCAAAATGAATACGTTCCTTTTCAAATGGCCTGCACTTCTCTCCTGAAGCACAGGAGCACAGTGTTCCATCAGGTTTAGCATTGTTGCTGTTGGGGTAGTTCTTGAATGCTTCTGGGCTTTATTGGTCTTTCAGATTTAGTATCTGAGTACTCTTGGAAAGGCTGATGAACAATGCGGAACTGGACATATTACTGTAACCATCCCTATATCCCAGTAGTGTTCTCTATTATCTTTTTCAGACAGTTTCTCTTTGTAATACTGTCTTTAAATAAGTGTGTCTCTTCTGGTTTCCTTGATATCTCTTTCTTTCCTTGTCCTCTGTGATCGTTCTTAAAGGCAACCAGTTCGCCTCTTGAACGTGGTATCTGCCAGTTACTCTGTGTTACCCAGAGCTAGAAGAATCTGGTTTCCGTACTATAAACGTAAACTCATATGGAAAACTTATTAAGAGTTAAGCAATGAGATAATGTGTGCAAATATAAAGGGCAGCTTTTTGAGACTTTGGGGAGGCTTAATTAATCAGCTAGAGTACTTCGGGGCCTTTGGGTTGAAAGGAAAATGCTATACTGATACGTTAGCATTGATTTGATCTTTCTTCCTTGTAGTATACTGTCTATCCCATTGTCCCAAATCTTCAGGTAATTTTCTCAAGCTCTGCTCACTGTTTTCATGTGTTTTGTCTCTTTGGTCTGCCTGTTGATAAAAGCTAACATCCAGTTGCTTAAACTGGTTTTCCATTTTATTTTCAAGACAACTCAGTCTGTATTTTGGCAGTGTTTTGTAGTTTTTCCGCAGCAATTCCGAAAAGTCTTGCGACTCCTGTCCTGGTCCTAGAGAAAGACTCAATCTCAAAAGTAGAAGTGAGATGTAGCTCTCTTGTCTGAATCTGGTAGAATAGGTAATTGAATTTGTCTAACTAAAAGCATCTATTTCCTCCCTCACCCCCCCTAAAATGAAAGAAGAAGAAAAAAGGGATAGCTACATCCCTATAGAAAGATTTATTTTCCATTGTGTAACACATAGACAGAAGAAAAGATGTGGTCAAGGCAAGTTGTCCAAAAGCTTGTAACTGGATGCATTCATAATGTTCCTTTTCTTCCTGGTTGATATTGCAGAGGGCTGCAGGGACTTTTAAAGGAACTCAAAATAGGTTGATGCTCCTAGAAGATCAGAAAGCCAAAGATATCGGAGAAGCTGCCTTTAAAAGCACATTTAGTAAAACAGGAAAATACCCCATAAAGCAATATATTTATATCCTCTAGAGCAATCGAGATGTGATCTCTGTGGATCCCAGTGTGCGCATGAGCTTCGTGTACACGAGAACTTCGGTGGCATTTTGGTTTTTTTTCAATGCTTATCTGCATTCTGTAAGAAACACCTGTATCTTCAGAAGCCACTGTCACAAATCATCATTGTCAGAAGCTGCCCTTCCCCTTAGCATGGAATCCTTTTTAGTGAAAACTTCCTTACTGGGATGAGGCAGGGCTAACCAAGAACATGTGCCAGTAGCAGTTAACCTCTGAGTACTGCTATCTGTGCAGAGACATCCATGAGAGAGGTATTTGTGGTTCCCTGCTGAATCCCGTTCTTCTGTGGTGTGTCAGCAAAAACTTTATGCACACCACTCATTCTGCTTCAGTGCAAATGTCCATCATTTCTAGGTTTCTTACAGAAATTACCTTAGGCTTCACAAGTCTGGCATTTTTGGCATGGACGGGCAGCAGGTTCAACCAGTGGAAAGGCATTTGGGCTATTTTCACCTCATTTGTCTCATCTGTTTAACCCCCCCACACACCCCGGCCCCTGACTTCAGAATAGCAACACTGTCTGCTTTGATTAAAACAAGGACTGTTACAGTTCTCTACTCTGTATTTTTCAAGTGCCAGGCAATTGTAATGGTAGAGAACAGCTTAGATGTTTAATTTATTAGGAAACCGATACTGTAAAGAGAAACTATTGGTCAAGTACTGAGAGTTGAATTTAAACATTTATTATTAAAGAAAAATTATGAAGCCTTGATTTAGTGCAGACACTTCTCCTGTGTCATTTAGCCATTAAATGAAACCCAACCTTAATTGAAAGCATTAATGCTGCGTATGATGACTCACTTTCATTTTCTGTAGATTTGATTTTGGTCCTGCAGAACTTCTGTAGACAAAAAGTGGCCCTAGGTCCACATTTGAACACCTGTGCTTAGGCATAGGAAGGAAAGTAGCCTTTTGCTGAAAGCCTGTGGAAAATTTTCTAAAATAAACCAACCCTCTTCTCCTGCCACTCCTGCCCGCCACCCTCCCCCCCCACTCAAACTTTTCTGCTTTCAGTTAATGAAAGGTTGGACAGGTTAATAAATTGATGTTGTATCACATCCAGAACAAAAAGCCTGTCTGGCACTTCTTCTGAAACGTATTTTTTGCTTAAATGTCACTTTATAAATGTCACCTTAATAATTTACATGCAAATGAGCTTTGATGTTCTATTAACGCTATTAAAAAAAGAAAAAGAAAAAAAGAAACGAGTGGATGGGCACATTCAAATTTCAGATTTTGGATTGAAAGTGATAGCCTTCCAGGTTTGCTACCCACACAGAGTAGGTCGGGGAGCCAGCTGGTGCGTTAGCTCATGGAGTTCAGTTGTTTCAGCAGATGGGGCCCAAGAAGAGAGTTAATAAATCATTGTAGGTGTGGGGTTGTCTGTGGTGACTTTCTGTGTTGGGCATGTGGGGACAGATGGAGGAGCAGGGGCAATAGCACTGTGACAAATATTTACATACAAAAATCTTCATATTTTGTAGCCCGATCATTATTCATCTCAGGAGTAAAGCTGCTGTTTTCCGCCACTGCGCACCCCTTGGCAGGGGAAGATGCCCTTCTCGTGTATAGGAAATGAAGACTTGGTCAAACAGCTACTGTGGAGCAGCTGCTCTGTGGCTTGTGACCCCCCCATACCATAGCAATGTGCCCACCAGCAGTGGCGTGCGGCCCTAGGCGTTCTTGGCCACCTGAACACCCTAGGGAGGCTGGGTTTACTGGGTGGCTCTGGGATCTGCTGGACTTGGGCCAGTGAGAGCTCCGAAGATCCATCATTACATTTTGCTGCTAATGACTCCAGGAGCTCCTTTTCGGTGTCTTCAGCTCCCTGTGGGATGTGATGTGTTCCTTTGCCTCCCAGCTGTGGTGAGGTGTGGTGGATGGTGAAACGAGGAGGAGATATGAAAGCCAGCAGGCAGGCAGAGTAGTAATACACTAAAGAAAAGAGGTTATTTACAATCTTCATGCCCCTTTAAACAGGAAAACAAAAAGCAGAGATGGTACAAAACAGATCATCTAGATTTCAGCACAGGTTTAGATTACATCTGTCTTTGTGTATTGAATGCAGAATAGGAAGGGGTCCATTTCTCATTTGGATGCAGCTATTTCTCCTGTTGTACAAGAAATCAGAAATGTTGCCAGAGTGCTAATCTTGCAAAATCTGCTGTGTTAAGAATGCCCTGAGAAAGGCTGCAGTGTGTCTGTGCTGTTGGATGTGAGTCTTTTCATATATTGAAGTTGTGGTCCATCTACCAGTGGCAAGTCTTTTCTAAGCCCTAAGCAGACACAGATACTGCCTTTTGGGTGAAAGGGCCTTTGGCAAAGGAAAATGGTAAAGAGGGAATGAAAAGAAGGAACAAATATAAAAGCGGTGTAAAATCTTCAACCACCGGCTTTCCTGATGGAATGTCACAGTTGCCCCCTTGTCCCTGATTTTAAGTCACTAAAAATAGATAGAATTTTTTTTTTCCTCAGCCTGTTCTCTGTGTTGCTGGTAGGATAACATTCATGTAACTTTTTGCATAAAAAAAGAAAAGTAGAAAAGGGCTCTCCAGAGGTTTTTAGACTAATGCCTCCATGGCTCCTGGTCTGCCTTGTACTGGACAGTCTAGCTATCTATTTCTTAACTCCCAGTCACAACTGATAGTGAAACAGAGTGATTTCAAGTACCATTAATAAAAATTTGAACACCACTAGTGACAAGAATTGTTCCTTTTGACCAGAAGAGCTTGTTTAAGGAAAGACATAGATCTAGAACTGAAGATGGGGTCTTTGAAGGTCTTGTAATTTCCCAAAACCCATTGTCCTAGTGAAGATGCAAATTTGTGTGAGGACGGAGAAATAAAAATGCAATTTGTTACTGCTTTATGCAAGACTTCCTTTTCTTCTACTCTCCCCTTCCCAATGGGTCAATTCTAGTCATGACCGTAACAGAAGAAAATGCAAGTCAGCTCATAGTAGTGACAAGTCCGAATGACACTGCTAGAGAAAGCATTCAGGCACACACTCTGTGTTCATGTGTTCCTCCTTGCTGTTTAGTATCGGTTACAAGATTTACTAAAAATACAGTTTCCTTCCAAACATTATTAATAAAGGACTCTAGCTGGTATCACTTTAGAAAAGTGCTAATGTTTAAGGTTCTGTATGATAAATGATTTAGAACTTAAATCTTTCTTCTGCAGATGGTAGCAAGGTCTCTGATGCCACCTTGATGGAGGTCTTATTGATGAATGACTTTAAACTTGCAATCAACAACACAGCATACAGTGTGTCACCTCCTGTAAAAGGTAAGAGCGATGGTTAATAACTCTGATCGTTTCACTTCGTCTAGTGAAAGGCATGGGAAGTCTCAGAAAACAGGAACCTGTCTGGAGAACGGATTTTTTTTATTTTTTTTTTTTACCATTGGGTGGTCCTGCTTTTGGGGTTGGAGGTGGGGAGACAGTGAAGAAGAATGAGTTCTTGAAATGTTTTATATGACAAACATTTTCTTTTCAGATAAGCTGAGTAGTGAGCATGCTACTGAAATGGAAGATATCAAATCCTTGGTTCACAGACTGTTTGTGGCTCTACATTTAGAAGATCACCAGATCAAGAAAGAGAGAGAATTGCTGCAGAAAGTGGACCATCTGAAAGAAGAGCTGCTGCCTCTTGAACAGGTTGGAAAGTGGGGTTACTTTTTTTTTTTTAAACTCAAAAGCATTTTCTTTCATCAAGACTAAGTTCTGTGATAGAAAAAAAAAAACAGCATGAATGGCTAGGGTGTGTCTGTTTAGTTTGTTATGTAAACAAGGGTCAATTCAAATACAATTAAAATTATTTTCAGTTCAGTTCTTTTCCCTCCTGTTATGCACATGCTCTGGGTAGAAACCACAACACCTGGAGAAATGTGTCGTGAACAAGCTGCAGCGCAGCTAGCGTTGGGATTGAAAGTCCACTTAGTCACCTGTTGCTGTATGAGTTCTGAATACCATTACAGAAGAAAACAATAGTGAGGAAGAAATAATCTGTGGCTTAGGCTAGGGTTTTCTATATCACCAAGGCAGCAAGGCAAATTGTTTGGACTAATGGTTGTTGTAAATCAAGAAGGGAAGGTAGGAATGTTGCTCTAGGGCAGGCTAAGCTAACCCAGCATGAGGAGAGGCAGCCAGAAAGAGCCTGACAAAGTGGACAAAACTCTTCCTTGGCTTCAGACCTGCTTTGTGAGGATCAGCCTCAATGTTAACCAGAGCTGCCTTGAATGGTAAATTGAAATCCAGTAGACATAAATCCCTAGTAGTGAGAAGGGGGGATTAAAAGCAGGATTTCTTGGGGCACAACAGCCAGATCCAGCTGCCCTTGCATTTCAGTCCTTTTCTTTCTCTGCAGGGTAAGTTGGTAAGAGGAGTCAGTAAAAGATGCTGGAAAAGGATCTAGCCCAGCAGGAAGAAACATAGTTGAGGAATGAGTTCATCAGTTGCACTCATGTTTGCTTGAACAGGTTTCTATATTTCTTTTCTATATTTCTTTTCCTTAGATGAAAGCCAGAATCATGGAGAGTGCAGATGCAAAGACCTCCAGGCTGCTATGGGTTGGCTTAGCTCTGATGTCAACACAAGGGGGAGCGCTGGCCTGGCTCACTTGGTGGGTCTATTCATGGGACATCATGGAGCCAGTCACATACTTCATCACTTATGGGAGTGCCATGGCTTTCTATGCCTACTTTGTTCTTACTAAACAGGTAAGTCCTCGTTTTGTAAATGTCTGGAGTATTGTAAAGGAGGATGACTGAAAATCACAATGTTGGGGCTCTGATGAAAATGTAATTCAGCGAGTCGCCTTGCTGTCAGACAGGGACTTGTTTGATCCCTAATGGGGCTGGATACGAACGTTATATTACATGAAGTCAAGCCAGGTACTGTTACGCACAAACTGCAGAGCAGGTGCTGAGCATAACTACTACCTGTAAGATTTCATAACCTAGGGAATGCAAAGCGATGAAAGACGTCTCTCCTTTTGCTTTATATTTTTGTAGATCACTTTGAAGAGTAAACAGCACCTTGCACATTGCTGTAAAGGGAGAGCGACTGGTAGTGCTGTGCCAGTTTGTGAACGCTGCCTTACAGCAGACCAGGAAGCAAATCACTGAACAGTAGCTTTTATTTGCTGGAGTTTATGTATAAACGGAGCAGGGTGCCAAACTGTTTGGAAATCTGGCGGTTGCATTATTGAAATATACCTAATTTAGTGCCTGAAAAAATGTTATTGCTTTGTTCTTCATAACCTGACTGCTTTTCCTTGACTTTGAATGAATGGCGATAAATCTAGGACAGCTGAAATAGGGCAGGAAACAGGCATTGTTTAGAAGAAAAAAGTTTGCTGAGTAATGAAAAAACAGACCTTAACTGAGCTGTACAATACAGACTTGTCCTGGGATCCTGTAAGACTTTGAGGAATGTTTCTTTTTCCTGTTTTAACTCTGTACTTGACTCCCAAAGTGGACATCCTGTGTTGAACTTTCTGTGATGCAAAACTCTTTTTGTTATGGAGATATGTGGAAAAGTAACCAAGGCTTCCTTCCGTTGAGATGTCGGGTTCCTTTAGTGAAAAGGCGAGATGTGTCTGCTTTTATGAACAGCTGACTCTGAACACCAATTTCTCAGTGATTTTTATGAAGGGCTAAGGCATTCCTACTTTTTGTATATGAGTAGATAAAGAGATGACTACTTGGCTTTTTTGAACAGCTGCTGGCACCATTGCTTGAGACTTTCAAGTAAGTCTTTGAGAAAGCTGAACTTTGAGTAGCTCAACTTTCTCTGACTCCTTGGGAGTAGCGTCGATTGACCTGGGTGGCTGCAGTCGTGAAGATCACGCTACATCTTTATTATGATTAAGAATTCCTTTAGACATGATAGAAATGATTCCTACCACGTGTCTAAAAGGCCTTTATGATCCATAAGGGCATAACTTAATATGTAGCCTCTTAGAGTATATGTGTGTGTTGAACTAGATACATCTTCCTCAAACAGGCTGAATTTCTATTGAAAACTCATTTGTACAGATAATCTTCTGACCACTACCCATTTTTCTTGCTAACCCCAAATACATGCCCTGCTTTCTTCACCAGGACTACATTTACCCTGACGCTAAAGACAGGCAGTTCCTCCACTACTTCTATCGGAAATCCAAAAACCAGCATTTTAATGTGGAACGATACAACAAGCTCAAAGAAGACCTAGCAGAGGTATTATTTAAATACAGTCCTTAAATAACAAGGTAGCCTCTGGGTTAAGACTTTTCCAATAAACTCTCAACTAACAGCAAATTGACCTCGAGGTTTGTTACATACATTCAAAACAAACAGTGTCTTTATTGCCTATCAGCCAGTTTGAGCTGTTTAAATAACTGTACAATGTTTGCCATTGAAGTATGAACTACATCAGTAAGTCATCGGAAAGGGAGACCTTCATGAATTTAATTTAAAACAAATAAGTCTGTTTATCAGCCCTACATGTCCATTTTTTTGTGTACTCGAATATGTTGCATTTTCAGCTATTTTAATCGAATAGCTGTATTACTTTCAGAGACAGTGTTTGCTGCACTGCTGTGGTCACACAATCCTCTCCTTTCCTTGGAAGGAGACTGTCTTGCAGAGTTCAGCATTTGACATCTTAATCCTGTTCCTCAGATAAAAGGCTTAGATTTCCATCCAGTCACCCCCATTCTGTAAAAGGCGGTGGTGGGAGTGCCTGGGAGAAACTTTGTAATCTTCAGGGAAAAAATGTAGCAGAACCCATTCCTCAATTCTTACTCTCCCATTCTATCTCCCCAGCCCTGTGTTCAATGTCTCGTAAAAGAAAATTGAAACTACCCCTCATTCTAATTCAAGACCTATGGTTCAGGGTATCATTTCATAAGCCACATTTGTCATAAGGCTGGAGTTTGATTCTTTTTCAGTAGCCTTCGAGTATGAATTCTGTAATCATAATTTCAGGAAAATAATACTTTGGGGCGTGGGTGAGTGGGTGGACGAGCAGGACACGTGCTTCTCTCAGGATGCTGGCTGCTCTGTACGCCTCAGCAGCTCTGTACACGTTCAGCGTCCTCTGTTGGATTAGTTTGTCGTCTTGTGTAAGACCAATGCCTTCTGAGAAAGGAAAGATACTGGATGTGTGAAAGGAGGAAAAAACAGAGGGCTGCAGAAGGATGAACTCTCACTCTTTCTTGCCCTGGCAGGCGGAAGAATCCCTGAGGCGTCTGCGCCAACCTCTGCACCTGAGGCTTCCTATCCAGGAAATCAGTGACAAGGACTGACTTTGGTTTTGTATATATTAGAATTGCCCTTTCAAAGCTGATCTGAACATTTAGTTACTCAACAGAAACTGGTTATTTTTGACCACTGTAGTTTTGAAAGTTGCAATAAATATCTATAAAAATGATTCAGTCACTTGATGGTTTGGGTTGGTTTGTTGGTTGTTTGTTTTAAATACTATAAAGAAGCTGCTGAAGCTAAGTTCTTTAAGATATTTGTCAAATCTCATCAGTAGAATTGAGGCATCCTGCCTGCTGGTAAAACAACAGGCATGTTTTATAGGACAAGGGCTATCTTATTAGGACTGTTTACAGAATCACAGAATGGTCAGGGTTGGAAGGGACCTCTGGAGATCATCTAGTCCAACCCCCCCGCCAGAGCAGGGTCACCTACAGCAGGTTGCACAGGACAGCACAGCAGTAGCTCATAGAATAATTTTCTGCATTGAGTATTAAGGCTTTTTTTTTCCTGAAATTGACTGCTTACCTTTCCCTAGCTCTGCGCTTTAACTCTGATATAACACCACTGGTGGAGGTTAAACTTGCATTACAAGTAAGCTTTTTTAGTTAATATTGCTGGGAAAGTAAGCTATATCAAACTCATTTATGTTTCACTTGCATTTTATTGAAAGAATTTATAAAAAGATTCAAATGTATACATTCATGATTTATACAAAGCTTGTAAGTAGCCATAGTAAGATTTAACATCTGTGACTCAGAACATAGTATATGAAAAGATTTAACTAAAGTAGAGCCACTAAATTAATTCTTTGATGCCCAGGAAAGTGGGTTAACGCACTTTTCTCAGCTTGAGTTCTCCATTATCCCCCAGAATTAAGCGTATGTACCACTAATGTAAAAAATAATAAAAGAAATATTTGCTTCTAGTATCATTGAAATTACTGATGGTGCAGTAGTAACAATCCTATGGTGAAACATCCTGCGGTGACAAACGTGCTACCGCTTTTATATACACCGTGACAGTGTATGGCTGATCTCTGCTGGGGCCAAGGGGAGGAGGAGGCTGATCCAACACCAAGGCCTGAAGCATGAAGGTTTGCATATGTTGTATTTTGTGGAGCTGCCTAGAGATGTCCAGCAGTTGTAAGTGAACCTGGAAATTATTTGCTTTAGCTTGAGAGATGTGTACAAGGTGAGCTTACCCAAAGTCATCTTAAGCAAGCTGTACATGGTCTCATTTCACTACTGGTTGCTTTTCTCCTGAGGATGCAAAGCACCAGCAAGCTTTAATTGTGCCCCAAATGTAAATGATGTGCAAGCAAAAAGAAGCCCTTTATCTATATTAATGCTACAATTGTACTCAAGGAATTAAGTTCCTTTTTAGTGTTCAGAGAAAATAAAAAAAAAATACTAAAAATACTAAAAAGCTATTCATCAACAAAAAATTGAAAGGTGGATACTGCTGTCCACAGATTTAAAAAGATGCCCTACAAACATATTCCCTGTAAACTATGCTCTTGGAGCAAGAAAAGGTAATCTAATGCAACATTTGAAATGTTTTTGAAATAGTAAACTGTGCCATAATTAGACAGCAATCAAGCAAAAAACTTAAGAAAAATAGTAATCTAGAGTACCAATTTCAATAAAATCTGAGCACCTCTTAATATTTTTGCACCAGTCAACTTTTTCCAAATTCCCTGAGATGAACAGAGCTGCAATACTAGCTTTAAAATTGCTTTAAGATTTTACAAACTACTAGAAGTACAAACTATAACATTTGATCCCAGTGTCTTTGCAAACAATCTTGTAGAATATTAGTCTCCTGAGCTAACACGGTGTGTTCTTCACTTCTGCAGTATTAGTTAATGGTTGTCATTGCTAAGTAACAATCTACTTAGATTTTGGATGAAAATACAATTTTTTAGTTAACATTGAGGCAAAACAGGGAATCTGTTTTTTTCCTATAGCATTAATGTCTCTGCACATATCCACTTTGCGATGAGATACTTTCCTGTTAACGACAGTAAGAAGTTCTGTGAACTCCAAGGAAGAGCCGTGCTTCCTAAGTGCCTCACACAAATCTTGAATGTACCAGGAGCCATTTACAGTGTCACGATGAGAAAAGTAACCTATGGTAGAACAGGAACATAAAATTATATCCAATGTAAGTAGCAGTGTCACTTGAAAAATATTCAGAAGTTACTGCTCACTAGCTGCATCAATAAGGGATTACTAATGGGTGTAAATCTTTCTTTGCCAATTATGTTATTTCAGTGGAAATTGTAGATGGGAAATGGCTTTGAGGTCACTTATAGTGCTCAGCCAAGAGGAACATGGTTTAAGGAGTGGTAGCTTACAGGATTGTATCTGAACATTACAAGAGAGCAGATAGGACTGAGGACAAGATACATGGAGCACTGGAGAGGACAGCCACATAGTGCAAGGATAATTATAAGCCACCAGAATCCTACAGTCTTGGAAAAGATGGGAATGCTTGCCGTCAGCAGACAGCTCGGCCTCAAGACTATGATGAGAATGTTTCTGCTTGGCAAATTTACTGCAGCCTTGATGGTTTCTTTTCAATTTTTCCTTATCATGTGAGGCTCTTTCCCAGATGACATGACACTCATCAGACATGCAAAACCGATGACCTGGAACTGTATTTATTTTGACTGCAAAATGAAGACATGTTCCAGCTTGTTACAGTGAAGGATCAAACATCAGGTGTAAAATATTAGAACTTACCTTGTGCCACAGAGTAGCACATGATAAAGTCAGCACCAGCGGGCAGGGTATAGACACCAGCTGCATCCACTTCAGTCTCACTGACAATGGATTCATGGCTACTATCTATTGAATCCTGAGCAATAACTGGATCGTCATGTTTATCACCTCGACATGCCTGTTGATGAGAAGTATTGTTATACTGGCGCCTCTGCCAAGCTCACCTATGTTAATATGACACTTCTGTTCAGTTAGGTGTTCTACGTCACCGTGAGTCTGGATTCATAAAGATTAATTTACTTGTCTATCAATTAAAATATTGGTGACTAAGTCCAGTGAAAGCTCTGAGATGATCACAGAATCACTAAGATTGGAAAGGGCCTCTTGAGATCACCTAGTCCAACCCCCCTGGCTCCAAGCTGAACAGTACCAGCTCTGTCAGCCTGTCCTCATAGGAGAGATGCTCCAGGCCCTTAATCATCACTTTGCAGGACTCACTCCAGTAAGTCCGTATTTTTGTTCTGTCAGGGAACCCAGAACTGGAAACAGTACTTCAGATGCAGCCTCACCAGTGCCGAGTAGAGAGGAAGAATCACCTCCCTTGGACGTGTTGGCAAGGCAGATTTGAATAAATGCTCTGAAGCACAGCCATCATTATATGCTGTTACACTTCTGCTCTTAGTTCAGTCTCAAATGTTGAGGGAGGGTTTTTTTTGTGAGAAGCCAGTAAGTAAGCCCGGTATTTGTCAGTGTTGCAAAAAAGCTATACACGGAGGATAAGAAGGTAAGAACACACTCGAAAGATACAAAGTAGGTAAGGAGCATTGCTTAAGAACTGTCACTAAAGAGAGAAACATGAAAATCTCTCATTTACAGTGATGAAGTTCCATCCTTGCTGTTTCCTCTGATTTCCAAAGGTAAATGCTATGCTGATTGTGCTGTAAAAGAACTCAGTTGATGAACTAAGTTAATTTGCTTTTTGATGATTATATATCCTAAGTATTTCCAAATATTACTTTTAACTTAAAATTGAAATATGTAAATATTCTTCCATCTTTGGCATCTGGTTAAAGAAAAAAAAAAAATCAAAGCTGAGTGAGTCCTCATGAAAGATGAATTAACAACATGCTGATTCTTGCAGCAGCCTTGTGCCTCAGCAAGCTTTCATTTGAAAAAAAGGTAATTCTTAGAATTACTCTACAAACTACTACAATTACAATCTGCTGAAAGCCAGGTTCTCATTTGAGTTTGCTAATTGTAATCTGGATAAAGATGGGATAAAGCCCTGAGTAACCTGGTTTGACACCATAACTGACTCTGCTTTGAACAGGAGGCTGGACCAGAGACCTCCTGAGGTCCCTTCCAACTTGCATTATCCTGTGAACCAAGGAGTGAAACAGGAGGTTACATACGGGTTTTATTTGACCACTTAGCACAAGCAGTATTTCTAAGACAATAAAACTTTAAATTGATTCTTTAAATTCTACAGAGATGCCAAGTATTGGTCATGGACAGAAAAGAAACAAAACAAAAAAATAAAGAAAACCAGAAAAACATCACCATCACCACCACCACCAAAACCAATGAAACAAAAAACCCTACAAAAAACAACTTCTGTAAGGATCAGGTTAAAGGGACTTGCCTGGAAGGAAACAGTGATGTTAGGCAGGTTTGATAGCTGCCTTCAGCCTAGCCTAGGGCTGTGAGGTGTGAACAGTAGGAAGTGAGTAAGGCTGTACACAGCTTTCTCAAAAAAATGGTACTGTCTTCTCTGCCATTAAATATACACCGACAGTCAATCTGACATGGGCTTAATTTGGGTTGCTTTTCATAAAATTATTTATTAAATACAGCTAGAATAATAATATTAACACTTGTGTACATAACAATTTTTTTTTTTTTTTAAAGAGAAGAATCGTTATCTTAAATGCCTTTAAGGAACAGTTTTCCATACCTTCTTTCCTAAAGATGCAAAAAACTTTCCCTTGTGGAAAGACTGTATGAGGAAAACTGACTTCTGTATTACAAGAAGACATAGGTCAGTGTTAACGCCACTGAATTCAGAAACAGACATCTTACCTGAATGATAAATATCTTTGGTTTTCCTACCAGACTCTGGCAGTTGTCTCCTCTGAACATGTCTGTGATTGTCTCAATTTTGATTTGGGCATCATATGCATAAACATGATCATTCTCACCATGACTCAGGAACACACAAACAAAGCAGTCAGCATTGCTGTGGTCATCCTTGGAGACTGAAATAGTCAAGTGTTGTTTAGATGACTAAACAGTGATCTTCAGGTTTAAAAAACATTGTATGTTTGTATCATATAATTTAATCTCTGATCAGTCCTTTCTCAGATGAACCCTATTTTCAGATAGTGTAACACTGCAGAGATTTCAAAGTGCAATGATTCAACACAGCTGCAAATAAGAACCACTAC